TGTGGTTGCTCGATCTAGTGCAGAATCAGAATATCGAGCAATGGCGACAGCAACTTGTGAGCTAGTTTGGATCAAACAGTTGCTGGGAGAACTAAAATTTGGCAAAATTGATCAGATGGAACTTGTGTGTGATAATCAAGCGGCTCTTCATATCGCATCAAATCCAGTGTTTCATGAAAGGACTAAGCACATTGAGATTGACTGTCACTTTGTCAGAGAAAAGATACTCTCAGGAGATATTGTTACGAAATTTGTGAAGTCAAATGATCAGCTTGCAGATATCTTCACCAAGTCCCTCACATGTCCTCGTATTAATTACATCTGTAACAAGCTAGGTACATATGATTTGTATGCACCAGCTTGAGGGGGAGTGTTAGAATAGAAATAAGTATTTCCTACTTAGAATAGGAATAGGAATAGGAATAGGAATAAGAATAGGAATCCTAGTTGGAAAAGGATTCCAATGTAGTGTCTATAAATAGGGTCTCAATGTAACTATTTACACACACAATTCAATATTATTTATTTCTCACAAGTGACAACCATTTTGGTGGGAAAATTCAGGAGTTTAGGTCCCAAACATTTTTTTCTGTTTCTGTAAAACAAAATCAACTGGAAGGTCCTATTCCAAAGTCACTCCTAAACCAGCAGCGCCTAGGATTTCTTCTCCTATCGCAAAATAATTTCAGTGGACATATTTCTTCAACTATCTGCAATCTAAAAACCCTGATGGTCCTAGATTTGGGAAATAATAATTTGAATAGAGCAATTCCACAATGTTTGGGGGAGATGAGTGCTGTTTTGGTTTTGGATTTGAGCAACAACAATCTTAGTGGGACAATTAATACAACTTTTAGCACTGGAAACTCACTGGACATCATTAAATTGGACGGGAATAAGCTACAGGGGAAAGTCCCACGATCTTTGATCAATTGCAAGTATTTGAAACTCCTTGATCTAGGCAACAATGAATTGAATGACACATTTCCAAACTGGTTGGGGACCCTACCTGATTTGTTGATTTTAAGCTTGAGATCAAATAAGTTGCATGGTCCCATTAAAGTTTCAGGAAACAGAAACTTGTTTTCGCAGCTTCAAATTATGGATCTATCATCCAATGGATTTGGTGGGAATTTACCAGCAAGTCTTTTTGGGAATTTGCAATCCATGAAGATAATTGATGAGAATACAAGAACCCCACAGTATGTAGGGGATGAATTTAGGCGTTATTATGATTATGTGACGACAATTACAACAAAGGGACTGGATTTTGATTTTGTTCGAATTGTGACTACAAACATGATTGTTGATCTCTCAAGGAATAGATTTGAAGGTGGCATTCCAAGTATTATTGGAGATCTTGTTGGACTTCGTACGTTGAACTTATCTCATAATGGCTTGGAAGGTCTTATACCAGCATCACTACAACATTTATCTGTACTCGAATCATTGGATCTCTCATCTAACAAAATCGGCGGAGCAATTCCACAACAACTTGTATCCCTCACATTTCTTGCAGTCTTAAATCTCTCTCATAATCATCTTGTTGGATGCATCCCCAAAGGAAAACAATTTGATACGTTTGAGAATAGTTCATACCAAGGGAATGATGAACTACGTGGATTTCCACTCTCAATAGATTGTGGTGATGATGATGGGGTACCAGAAGTGACAACTCCAGTAGAGCTAGAGGAAGAAGAAGGAGGAGATACACCAATGATAAGTTGGCAGCAGTGGCGGAGCCAGGATTTTAAGTAAGGGGGTTCAAAATCTAAAAAAATAGACACACAAAGTAGCCGAAGGGGGTTCGACATCTACTATATATACCTAAAAAATTATTTTAACCATGTATAAATCATATAATTTTCCGCCGAAGGGGTTTTGATGAACCCCCTCATTGTAAGGTGGCTCTGCCACTGGTTGGCAGGCGGTTCTCATAGGTTACGGTTGTGGTTGTGGACTAGTTACTGTACTATTCGCAATATACATAATGCTATTAACGCAATATCCAACATGGTTTTCAAGGATGTTTGATGAATTGGAACACAGAATTATTACGAGAATGCAAAGGCACAAGAAAAGGAATTAGTGTGTAACCTCCAGGTGTTCAACTTAGATCTCTATACAGATTCTTTTGGTTCGACTTATTAGATATTAGCATTTCATTTGATCTGTTTTTTTGTTAACTATGAATTGACATATGCTCTAGTCTTTATAAGGCATTTTCTTAAAATATTTTTGTTGCCTTATTGTTCTATTTAACTATGACAAGGGATCTAGATGTTTTACAATCCATACATTTTATCTTTCAGAAGATTATATTGTTTATACATTTTATGTTTTCTAGCTCCTAAGTTCAATTCTACATTTTTTAAAGTTGCGGGATTCAAGTCTAATAAGTTGCTGGAGATGCAAATAAAAGCTTTTACTTTCATAGTATGTGATGTTTCATAAAGTATTTGTTTCCCTATGGCTATGAATAAAGCCTGGGCTTTTCTTCCTCTGAGACTCAACCAGATTTTGTTTCCATTTGTCTTAGGCAGTAGAAATATCTTCAAGCCTAATTATTAGTTAACTATCTCCCAAGGCCTATTCAACTCATAAACAGAAATCGGACACAAACATGAATCTTTAGATCATTTAGTTGGATGATATGTGCCATCACTAAAAACATTGTATTTCACTCACCTCTTCCACATAACATCATAACACAGACATAGAACAGATGACTTTAAGTTCAAAAAAAAAAAATCTGTGGTTACTGAGTTTGAAAATACTTTTATACAGACTAATGATGGTATTTCATCAAAAGATTAAAGTAACATCAGGAAACCATGGACCAAAGCTGCAGTCTGTTCTCTTAACTATCTTAACTTTTTTCATTGAAGCGACAGAAAAATGCCCAACTGGCGTATCATGAGAAAGAGACTTATTCTCAGAAATGGGAATCTCTTGGTCCATAACTCAGAAAATCTAGTGTCTAACACGGAGTCATGGTTTCAAAAAAAGAATCTTCTGTTAATATAATTAAATGAATTCAGAACTACACGCTATAGGGGCAGCCTCTCGTGATATCACTTTAACATGGAGCAAACAGTGTCAAAAAAAATTAAAGGGAAAGAAAACATGTCACAACTTCATTTAGGAAGAAATCAAGCAGAACCGCTTGCCTATAGGTAATGTTTATCGTGATCAACTATTGTTCAGATTAATTAATTAGCAAGCCGCTCCATAATTTCAAAGTTTCGTGGCAAAGAAAAAGATTCAGAAAAAGAAAAGTAGAAAACAAAAAGAAATACCTCGACAAACAGACTTTGGAACCAGGTTTGCTGTGCATCTTCACAAAAATGTGTCCTCCTTCTTGATCAGTCAAGCTATGACTACTGCTTTCTTTAAGCAGTGCTTCAATCTATGTGCTAAATCCATATGCAGGATCCTTTTAGATGAGTCGAGATTCCATCACCAAGCTGTTGCAGTTATCAGCTTACTTAATAAAACTGTGAGCTGGAACTGTGTGTATTCCAGCATCTAACATTGCTTTTCTCAAGGAAGCAGCATGATCCAGCCTCTCTGTGCCAGCATAAATGCATGAGAGTTGCACATAACTCCAGAATGATTCAGTTGCGACCCCAGCAATAGTTGTGCTGCTTCATTTCCCAACTCGATAGCTCCATGAAGTCTACAAGCACCCATCAGAGCCCCCAAGACAGTAGCATCAGCTTCAAAAGTCATCTTCTTTATGAAGTCGTACGCTTCCTGCAGTAGCCCAACTCTCCCTAATAGATCAACCACACAACCATAATATTCCATTTTAGCTACAAGTCCGAATTCACGTGACATTGCTTCAAACAATTGAAAACTGAAATCGACAAGCTTGACACACACACAAGCTGATAGAACTGCCACGAAGGTAATCTCATTTGGTTGCAGCCCCTTCGATCTCATCTTCTCATACATCGTTAATGCTTGCTTCTCCCTACCATTCAAAGCTAGGGAAGAAATCATACCATTCCAAGCTCAAACCTACTTGCTAACCATCACATCAAATACCTTCCAAGCATATACTAAACAACCTGTAACAAACATAGAGGACAAGTCAGAGGCTCCTAGACGCAGTACCAGGGATAAGAAATGGCCCAAGCACCTAGACCAATATGTGGTCCCAAATCTCAAAAGAATGTCCTCTTTGCCAAGCTATTAGAAGAAAGGCCAAAAAGCACCCTTGCACCAGAAGACATAAATAGACCAAGAACCACTAGACTTCAGTATGGAAGAACTTGCATTTTATTTCTTTAGTACTTTTGCAGATCTGAAACCTCTCTTTTCTACTTTTTCCTTTGTTTTCCTTTGTAGTTTACTGTTTTCCCTAAAAGCTTGAGAGATATTCCATTGTATTTTCTCAACTTGGTTGAATATCAGTGTTGATTCCTTACACAACCCATCTTCCCATAAAACGCGATTAATCTACCTGCCTCATTCCTTACCATGTACTTGCCTCCCTAGATATAACGCTACACCAACATCCAAACACGTGCAGGAACTAAGAACACTAACAAAAGCTGCCTCATTTGACTTCAATAAACCACACTTCATATCCTCATGTACCATCATTTTCTCAAAAAAAAAACTTAACAGCAACCTCAGAGCACCTGTTCTTCATACCCATGAATCATACTAGTCCATGAATTAACATCACTATAAGCATGCAAGAAAACTTCAAGAACCCCAAACCCATATCCCTATTTTTCCCACAAGCATCAACCATCACATTATACGAGGTAACACACGGTTCAGTAATTTCATCAAACACCTTGCATGCACTCCCTTGTCAATAGTTCAATAGCCTGATGCAAAGGCATACTTTCCAATCTATATGTCCCTAATAATTAATTTCTATAAGGAGCCTAATTTCTTATATACTGTTACGATAGCTTCGTATTGATAAAAAGTACCAAGAACGAATTTTTATTGAAAATCAAGAAAGAATTTCAAGAATAAATATGTTTTTTTTTTTATATTTCTGATTTATCAACTAGGTGGTAGTGATACCCACTCGTAAGGTCCGGCCTGCTTTCCACCCAAAAAATTGACTAGCTAGATGAACTAGTTATGTGAACCTAGTAGCTTTGAAGTAAATTTTGTATTTGTAATGTTAAAATTGACACTAGGTCTTCAAGACCATAATTAGATGAAACATGTGTGTGGGTGTATATGAGGTTGATGGGTTTGAAAAATTAAAATGCATTTGATGGAGTTTGAATTCGAAATCGAATTTGAACTTTAAACCACTAAGAAAGTCTCTAGTTTACTATTTGAGTGATTCAAAATTCATATATATGCATAAAATAAAATAAAGTTACCTTGTATATTATGTAATTTTTTATCGAGGGGATTTAGATGAACATTCTGACAACTCTCTAGATCTGTCCATACATGTATTAATTTTGTGTATTACTAATTATCTTGTTTGATATTTTTTTTTTCGACGTATGTATAACATGCATTAGTTTATACACTAGATTTAGTATAAGGTATGTATAATTTACATGAATAGGGGTGTATAAGAATAGTGTTAAATCGCATGTATTAATAATGCTAAAATTAGTAATGTTTTATATTAATTAGGGCAAATTACAGAAATCACATATTTTTAAGGTAAAATTACAATTTATCCCTTAAAAGTTTATAATTACAGAAATTTCTCAAACGGGTACAATAATATAAGCGTTGATATATTAATCTGATGCGCGAGATACATTAATCATTAAGTAAGATACATTACATTTTATACATGGTACACTAATCTGATGCGTGAAAATAAGGGGTTTTAGAGATTTGTAAAACTTATAGGGAATAATGGTAATAAGTAAACTAAAAGGTGGATTTCTGTAATTTTTCCTATTAATTATGATTGTATTAGTTATGCTTGAGGATATCTCAGCAGTGTCACTAGTGAAAATTTTACACAAATCACATAATGTTAAGAGCTAATTATATCATATTTCTTATTCTTTTTCAAATTACAAAAATATCTTAATTTAGGTGGAATTCGAATACATCCCAAAAAATTCTCAATACATCGCATCTCGATTTTGAATACATCACTCAACATCCCGATACATCATTCAATGTCCCGATACATCATGTACGTCCTGATATATAGCATAAAGTGATGTATAAATTAATGCATTGCACAAAGTACTGTATTCAATCGATATATCTCATAAAGTGATACAACCAAGAATAGGAGAGAGTAAGGATTTTTCCAAATTTTATTATTAAATGATATTTTTAGGGCCGTTAGTCCAACATAGCCCAAAATAATATGGGCCCTAAGCCCATTATCATGAGTATCAAAATCAATACAAAAAAGAAATACTTATAAAGGTCTGTTTGGCTAAAATATAAAAAAGAGGTCTTAAATATATACCCAAAAGAAAATACTTCACAGAGTTTGCTATTTGATTCTCTCTTTTCCCTTGGAGAACAAGTTTTTGCCAGATTTCGAAGAGAGAGAGAGAAAGAAAGGAAGAAGCAATAATGGATGTAATCAAATCTCAGCAAATATCTTCGAGGCCGATTGAGAAGGTGATAGTTCATCCGCTTGTGCTTTTGAGCATCGTAGACCACTACAATAGAGTTGCAAGAGACACAAGGAAACGTGTTGTCGGGGTTTTGCTTGGAACTTCTTTTAAAGGCACTGTTGATGTTACTAATAGCTATGCAGGTATCATTGTTGCAAACCCTTTTCAGATCTGTTCAAATTTTTGCTTCATGGGGTTTTTGATTTTTTTGTTATTTTGCTTTTTTGATGGAATTTGAAGTTTGTTAGGGTTTTTATGAGGTGAATTTAAGATTTGAACTGTGAACTGAGAATAGGTATCTAATGTGCTGGGAAATTGTAGATTAGTAGTCAATTTGCCTTTATTTATGGGATTAATTCGGTTGCATTAGGATGGAATTTACAGTAAGTTAAGCTTTTATGAGCTAAATTTGAAATTGGGACAAGGAATAGGTATCTAATGTGCTGGGAAATTGTAAAGTAGCAGTCAATTTGCATTTATTTATGGGATTAATAATTGGGTTGCTTGTGTTCTTGCATTTTGATGGAATTTAAAAGTGAGACTTTTTATGAGCTAAATTTGAGGTTGGAACTAGGAATTGGTATCTAATGTGCTGGAAATTGTAAAAGAACAGTTAATTTGCTTTTATTTGTGGGATTAATACTTGTGTTGCTTTTGTTATTTTGCTTTTTGATGGAATTTGAAGTTTGGTAGGGTTCGTATGAGCTAAATTTGAGATTGCTGAATTTTGAGGGAAGGACTGACATCTAGCCTTTCTGTGGAGATGTATTGCAGTATCAATTAGACTGTCTACATACTTAGTTGAATAAATTATAACTGTGAAACCTGCGCAGTTTCCTGAGATGGGTTCATCTGGCTGCAACACTTTACCATTTTCCATATTTTACTTCTAACTAAATGAAGAGTTGGCTCAGCCCATAGATATGAATCTGTTTTGTGATTTTACCTAACATCTTTTGCTGTTTCATGCAGTGCCCTTTGAGGAGGAGGACAGGGACCCTAGTATTTGGTTTCTTGACCATAACTATCATGAATCAATGTTTTCCATGTTCCGTAGGATAAACGGTATAGTTATTATTTACTTGCATGATTTGCAATTCATGATCTTTTTAGATGTATTGTCAACTGTTTAAATGTTCATTCTTCCTTTTGATTTAATTGTATCAGCAAAGGAGCATGTTGTTGGTTGGTATAGCACTGGTCCCAAACTTCGGGAAAATGACCTCAACATTCATGGGCTTTTTAATGAGTAAGGGCATTATTATTTATTCATTCATTCAGAGATCCTATTTTGCATCTTTAGTTTGGCAACATGAGAATCTTTGGTGATTGATTATGCCTGAATGGTTTTCTCAAGCTACAAGCTTTACTTATCAAATGAATCTGTTAGAGAGATCGGGAAACGGCAATACGGGAACTTCGGGAGAGAATTGCTTACAGTAGGGTATAGCTAAAAAGGATACAAATTAATAGACTTTACAGGCATTGTCACAGGAAAATGGACAAACCGTTGAAATGCACAAATCAAACTAGTTTACTTCCCTCTTGATCTTGTACTAGTCCCTTAACATAGCAACTTTCATTGTTGACCTCCCAAGCCCTTCATGCAATTTAAATTGCATTTTCATGGATATACAAAAAATTCCAACTCAAATCAACTTTTTAATAGTTAAAATTCATGGTAGTTAATCACCTTCTGGTGCGAAACTCAAAATGGATTTATGGATGACGATTTTCTAATAAATTTCAATAAGTCTAACTTAGTTTAGATTTTGATAGTAGTATGACATTAACAAGTAAGATATCTGAGAGGAGATAATGGGAATTGTGGCTTGTCCTTTTCCTATTTGCTACTTCAATTTAAGGAAGCAACTTGTATGCAAAAGCTAGGTAGATGTCTCCAATGGGGATTTCTACCTATTGCTGAGAAAAGGTTCTCAAAATTTAAATGTGGGTATGAGTTCCATTGTATATTCAGTTTCTTTAAATGTCCTCTTGCACAATATTGGTGCTGCACATCCTTTTTAATTTAATTTAAGTTTTGCCTTGTCCCAAGTCTTTTAGAAGTCTTTCCATGTTGTGATATTTCAATTTTCAGATCGATTTTAGTCTAAGCTAAAAGAATGAATAGTAAGAAATAGAAAGCTGGGTTATTGAAGAAAGTAGTAACATAGACTTCTCTAATTAAAATAAGGGCAGCCCCGTGTTCAAAGAATTCGTTCACGCAGGGTCCGGGAAGGTAACGTAGACTTTTCTAGTATTATGGTAAAATAAATTTTGTTCATTCTATGAATACTAGCTTTCCACTCTCTAGGAGTTCTATTCGAGTGTCAGTTCTATTAAGGCAATGTATTGCTGCATGAATTTTCACAAACGTTCTCATCCTTGTTTGGTCACTTCTTTTCCTGCTATAAGCCCTATCCTATGCTGATGCGTCTTTATGGGCAGGAGGCCATCATTAGAGGTATAATTTCTCATCAGAACTGTCTTCTCTGTAGAAGCAACCAAGTTTTATGCTGGTCCTTGTAGGAAAAGTTACTTGTCTCCTGGATGATTTTCCTCAAACACGCTAATCTTGAGGGTTAGCAAGGACATTGCAAAATCAACATGCCCAAGCCAAAGAAACCTAAGTTTCTGCTATGCTGGCAGCTACACCTTTGAAAACCAGCTTAAACTGAAGTAATCATGATATACAGTGTAAGACATGGGAGGGAGAGCGGGGTTCATATCAGAACTTAAAAATTGGATATATGATGTAAAGCACACAGCACATATTAGAAACTCGCCTAAAATTGTTCTCTCTTTTTCAAGAGATTGAATTTATTTAACTTGTGGGTACAATGTTTTGAACTTTGTATCTTTTATGCCATAAGGTTTCACACTCAAGTATGCTGCTTATTATTGATGGTGTTATTGCAGCTACGTCCCTACTCCAGTCTTGGTTATAATTGATGTCCAGCCTAAGGAGCTAGGAATACCAACTAAGGCATACTATGCAGTTGAGGAAGTTAAAGAGGTAACAACTTAGATTAGTAGTTCATCATCTAAAAGGGTTTGGTGCTTGTTGATATTCATAAGTTGTTTTTGCAATGTACTTGACGTGCTGTGGATGGGTATATACTTGCAGAATGCAACTCAGAAAAGCCAGAATGTGTTTGTGCATGTACCTTCAGAAATCGCTGCTCATGAAGTTGAAGAAATCGGTACAACTCCAAGATTGATTTTTTACTCTTTAGTTTACCATTGTTTTACTTCTAAAAATTCAACTTATTTCATTTGCCTAAATTGTTAGCAGTTTTCAGTCATTCTTCAAGGCAAGTGACATTTTCACTGTGCATACGCATTAAAATTTTGTATACCATGTATTATAATGGACAGGTGTTGAGCACTTGCTAAGGGATGTGAAAGATACAACTATCAGTACCCTTGCAACTGAGGTTTCTTTCAGAACCTTCTTATGACCTTTCAATTATAGAAAATTGATAATAATAAGTTTGGTTTCTTAACAATTTCTCGGTTATCAAAAAAAAAAAAAAAAAAAAAAAAGTTTGGTTTCTTAACAAGTAGAGAGCAATAAGAACTTTGAACACTTCCAATCCAGGTAACTGGGAAACTGGCAGCTTTGAAGGGATTGGATGCTCGACTTCAAGAGATACGGAGTTATTTGGATGTTGTCATTGATGGGAAGCTCCCCTTGAACCATGAGATTCTATACCATTTGCAGGTTAGCATTACTATCAACTTTCCTTCTCTTTTCTGGCTTCATGATCATTCTTTCAGTTGCCAACTTCATCTATGTTCTAAAGGGTTGTTGACGTTATAGGGAACTTTCAAGTAAAAAGTTTAATGAATTTGTAGATTATTCCTAAAAACTAGCCAGCTTAATTTGTTCAAAAATAAGGTCCTTAAGCAGAAAAAAAGGTTTCTGCAGCTTTCTCTGCTCAAGGACCTTATTTTGTACAAATTAAGCTGCTAGATTTTAGGGATATCTTTTCCTTGGCTATGAGTGGCAACATGTTTCCTGTAAAGAATTTTATGCTTGCTGTTTGGTTGCACATACGGTCATTGCTTGTTGCGATCTTCCCGAATCATTGTGTGATGATTTTGTTTTAGTAAGATATTTGAAGCTTTGGCACCAAGGGTTCTAGGTCAAATCTATTACTCACACGTGAAATTTTAACATAAAACACTGAAATAACTCCTGTTCTGCATCTAAACAAAAGTGTTGCTTTGTTGATCCATCAACTGCCGTCAGTGTTCTCTGCATTTTGTTGTGGTGCCGATAGGCTGATTTTTAACAGATTTCCCATCCAATTCAAAGATGCTAACATGTTGAAATCTGAAATAAAAAATCTGTTGCAGGATGTTTTCAATCTATTACCCAATCTAAATGTTGCTGAATTAGTAAAATCATTTTCAGGTAAATTAGCTGGATTCCATCTCTGTTTCAATTAGAAAATCTCCACCACTGATATATGATCTTTTAATCTTTTGTGTGCCCATTTGATTTCTTGTTGCAGTGAAAACGAATGATATGATGTTGGTCATATATCTATCTTCACTTATCCGAAGTGTAATTGCTCTCCATAACTTGATCAACAACAAGGTACATTTTACTTTTTAACTACGCTTCAAAAGTTTCAAGTTTGTTTGTCATTATCTTTCGAAAAATGTGTTGTGCCAAGGTAACACAGATCTGAATGAGTGTTCAATGCTTGTCAAAAAAAGTCCAATTATGAATATGCCAGCAACCAACTTAGTTCAGTTGGTTAGTGCGAATGCCTTCAATTTTTACTACAATTGCACATGATTAGAACTCTGTTGTCTACCTTTCACTGTAGCGGATACAACTGTCCATCTTTCACCAGATTCCTTGCTTCTGCGTGACTGTCCTGTTTATATCTAGAATTTTGTTGATATGTCCTGGATTTTAACCTTTGTTTTTAGTCTGTTATTAAATGAATGATACCTATATATTTTGAAACAATTCAACTTTTTAAATTTAAATTTTGAACCTTTGATAAGATGATTTGTAGTCAGACGAATGTCCATGGCTTGTTTTAAACCACGAGTTTCAAAAATCTTTTGCTCTTTCTTGAACTCTGCTCCAGTCAAACAATTCGACATAAATTGTGACGGAGGGAGTACATTTTACTGCATATAATATCTGCACACAGCCAGCCCATTTATCTATTATCAGGATCGAGTCTGAGGCTTGTGATATCCATTTCAGATGCTTAACAAGGAACACGAAAAGGCTGAGGATTCGAAGCCTCGTGCAGTGCCAACTACAGCTGGAAGCTAAGCAATCCACCCTCCCAATTCTCTTTGGTGATCCACTACCCAGCACTTGCAGCTAGTTGCAATTGGAACCTGAATCTGCTTTGTGACAATCTCGCCCATGGAGGAACTCTTAATGTTTTCTTATCTGCTCTGTTTTAGGTTTGTTCCTCCAGATTTTAGATGTTTTTGTCCAGTGGGATTTAGATCAAGTGATGGACGACATATCATCTTCTTTGTATTAACAGATCAAACTTGTTCCCTTTTTCTTTTCTCTGAATTCAATTAAAACATAGGCTCAAAATGAGGCACGCGTATGAATTCATCACTGAATACCCAGAATGGAGGAATGCATCTTATCTTAATTGCATTCAGTGGGTGTTTTGGTGTTTCGAGTGGCAGCTGCCTATTTCCCCCTTGACTCTCCCTATTACCTTAAAATCCTCTACTGAAAAAAGGCTTTTATTTTGGGGGGAGATGCATAGGTGCAAGCCTTTTCTTCTCATAAGGTAGGGGTAACACTTGGTTTGCGTACATACCACCCGCCTTTTGTTTACTGAGGGTTTGAATCCCTCTCTTTCCATACCTTTGCGTATTTCACCAATTTTACTAGCAACAAGGGCTCAAATAGTAATAATGGATACACCATTATTCCAAGAGCTAAATCCTTCTTTGATCTAAAAATATAAATTCTCAATTTATGATTGTAATTGTTGTGTTGCGTAAAATAGAATACTAAAACTTCTCTAGAATTTCACTAGGTATGTTGTCGTCATTTTGAACTATTAAGTAGGTTTTTCCATACCAGCTTATTTATCATGTATAGTGGATGGGTAAGATCATAATGTAATTGTATGCCTGATTTGTGTTTTTTTTTCCACTCGACCTTTAGAGGCTCTAACCATGGAGCAAGTAGATCCCAAAAATATATAATTTCTCCTCCAAAAATGATTTTGATTGCCGAATGCATTAGATATTTTACCTAAACCAGTATGTCCTTGAATGGGTCTCTTTGGTCCAAATCCACAATTTTGGTATAACAACACACTTGCATGTTTCCAATGTTTTGGCTTTTGTAGCTCTCATGTAATGAAAAGGTTATAACAAAGATAAACAAGATATCACAAGTATTAGAAACCATGACCTCCTCTTTTAACTTAGTTATGTATATTGGCTTACACACGAAGGACGAAAAACTGCATATTTCTCTACCATATGTTGGCAAATGGGGCTGCGTTATCGGTCAATTCGGTTTGATTTTGAAGTTTATCAGTTGGTCTTTTTAGTTATCAATTTGTAGACATGCTAAACCGTTAAAAAACCATTAAGATATTGATTTACATTTATTAATCGCTATCGATTTAATCGTTAAGATTTGACACAAAAAGAATATCATTGAAAATCTCTTAGAAACAAGGTGACAAACCAAATGAGCAATGCGCATGAGTTCACATATTGCATCTTGCTCAAAAGCGCACACTTTTGCTTGTAGAATTACCAAAAGTTTGAGACAGCCTGAAATTAAAATAGGAAACTAAACACTAAGTCAAGGATTTTATATACAAAACGGTATAAATATAATTATTTAATTTACTATCGGATTTATTGGTTAACCCGTTAAGAAACGATAACCCGATAATAAAACAAATTTAGAACGATTACCAAAACCGCTAAACCAACAACCCATTATTGATAAACCAATATAAAAAAATTCAATACAAATTATACGATTTCGGTTTGATTTTGAAGTTTATCAGTTGGTCTTTTTAGTTATCAATTTGTAGACATGCTAAACCGTTAAAAAACCATTAAGATATTGATTTACATTTATTAATCGCTATCGATTTAATCGTTAAGATTTGACACAAAAAGAATATCATTGAAAATCTCTTAGAAACAAGGTGACAAACCAAATGAGCAATGCGCATGAGTTCACATATTGCATCTTGCTCAAAAGCGCACACTTTTGCTTGTAGAATTACCAAAAGTTTGAGACAGCCTGAATTAAAATAGGAAACAAACACTAAGTCAAGGATTTTATATACAAAACGGTATAAATATAATTATTTAATTTACTATCGGATTATTGGTTAACCCGTTAAGAAACGATAACCCGATAATAAAACAAATTAGAACGATTACCAAAACCGCTAAACCAACAACCCATTATTGATAAACCAATATAAAAAAATTCAATACAAATTTATCGATTTCGGTTTGATTTTGAACGGTCCTAGTTGGCATGAAAGGTTTTTATTGACAGGAAGAGAAAAGCAATATATTGAGCTCAAACACTACATTTTTTTCAAGCATATCATATAACTCAGCATACCTAAAACCGTGCTACATCAAATTGAAGAATTCATGGTGAATTTCTCATAGATATGAAAAGAAGGAAAACAACAAAACCAACAAAATGAGAGGATCTTTCAAACTTTTAAAACAAACACCACCTTAAAACCATCCAAAGAGAGACAAGTTATGAAATTCCAGCACAACAAAATGTAGAAAATTAGCAAGGGAAAAAGTTCAAACAAACTTAGAAGTCACCAAATACTTGTCCAAAATAGAAAATGGGATATCCCAAAACTAACACAAGTTCCCCAAGCTCTACAATGCCGCAAATCTTGGGAATTGAGACACAAGGACATGAAATGTGGAGGACATTGCATTACATCTCAGCAAGAAGTATAATCTGGCATAAGAAGTTCTAATCTTTATGCAGAAACTCATGAATCAAATGTTAGCAAAAGTAAAACAAGTTGAGGAAACTCAGTTATACGCCAAATACATATCAAAATGCTAATGCAGAGCCGATAAACCATCCATTTAGTTCAGATCAAACTGCAATAGAAGGTTGTTGCAGTTTGGAAATAGTCTTTTGCTGATCCATTATGACATTCAAACAAGACAAGATATTGTAGAATAGATTGTTGCAAATCTTGGATGAACAAAACAAACAAAACTTGCAGGAAGCTGCTAGGCATGAAAAAGGTAGCCTTTCCATAGACCTTAGGTATTATCAAGAAAGAATTTCTGGGAGAGGCAAACTACATGTATCAGTTGGTGTGTTTCATGTGCATCGGGCGCACAGATGAAAATCACCCCCTTCTACATTGTAAGATAGTGCCTCAAAGTGGCGGGAAATATTGAGATGGTTTGGTCTTGTGTGGATAGTGTCAAGAACAGTTGTGGAAAGAAAAATAGGAGAGATTTTGATGGAGTAGGAAAGGATTTGTGTATTTGAGACGTCGCCTTTCATCTCTTATTTCTTTTTGGTACCTACGACTCCCAATGTGTATAGAAGACAATAAGGTACAAGAAGGTTTTCTACTTTCTGGTATACTTTTGCCCTTCATTGATAAAATCAATGAATAACCAACTTAAATCCACCAAATAAAACATGATTACCAGAAATTCAACACAAAACATCAACCTCTTAGATATGACTTTGAAACCTGTGGACACTCGCATACACATTGAATTACCAGATTTAAATCCAAACATGAGTGCAAATCAAAACTACATTCAGGTGGAAGTCGGATAACATGACAAACCAATTAAATCAGTATGCCAGCTCTCTGTAACTGCAGATAAAAATTCAGAATGATCTGGGCACAAGAACAAGCACAGGCTTCATGCCTCAATTTTCTGCAAAAGCTCATGCTTGTTCACAATCACCCCTTTCTTTAGCATATGCGAAGGAGTATCATCAGCGTTCTGTGCTATTGTAACTGAAATATCTAACGATCTCCTCTCATCAGCTATTAAAGGAGCAAGATATCTAGACATGTGTGTATACTAAAAAAATGATATCTGGATATGTGTATCTATATTGTCATTCCAGATCCTTCCCAATACATCCCAAGGAAATTCCTGAAACTGGATCCCCAATTGACAGGTTGGTGTGAGCTTATCCATGCAGTTATGTAGTGTATATCTATATGGTTTTCACTGTCGAAATAGAAGATAAGGATATCGTAAAAAATTTCTAAAACAATTACTGGTATTAAAACTTGTAGGGCAAGGCAATATCATTCGCAAGCATCCATTTGCTGCAAAGCAACAAAGAAATGTCTCTTAACATCGAACGTGTGGAAGCCCAAGGTACAAGTCACCCACCCACACCCCCCAAAAAAGCAATGGATGTGCCAAAGAGAGCACAACTGAAGCATCACATACAGAAAGAAACCACATAGCAAATGCACTCATCATATAATGTTAAGGTAACTACAGCAAGGAGGGAAAGAAGAAAAACATCATGATATAGGTAGAACCATTTGGCAACATTCAATCATCTCAAAAACTATCCGTTACAAACTTCGAATAAGATACAGCACTACAAGCTACTCTGTTTGATAATTCGGTGGCCAGGGTGCCTTGATCAGTTTCCACAAAAGGTGATGCACTCTTTGCTAAGACTGGCTCAATTTACATAATGAAGGAAAGAAAACAGTAACATAAGTTTCCCTATCACTTATCTTTGGGAATACCATATTTCTCCTGAAGCTTCGTTATCTCGTCCTCCTTCTTCTTCTGGTCAAATTTCTTGCTCATCTTCGCTTGCTGGTAATACAGAACTATCAAGTATCTGCCAAATAACAAAAACACCAAATATACATCAAGATAAGTATGTGGGTAGAAAATATAGAGAACCTATAATTTATTAAAAAGACCCTATTCTATCTTGAAAAGTAAGTCGAGATATAGCAGAATGACTGCCGACATAGAACATCCATATAACTAATCCTAACTAGTTTAGAATCCACACCAAGTCTATATTAAGATAGGTATATGGGTAGAAAATATAGAGAACCTACAATAATATATTAGAAAGCCCCCATTTTTTTCTTGAATAGTAAGTCAAGACTCGAGATATAGCAGAATGACTGCTGAGTGCTGACATGGAACATTCATGTAACTAATCCTAACTAGTTTAGAATCTACACCAAGTATACATCAAGATAAGTATATGGGTAGAAAATATAGAGAACCTATATTAAAAAAGCCCCCATTTTTTCTTGAAAAGTAAGTCAAGATATAGCAGAATGACTGCCGACTGCTGACATAGAACATCCATATAACTAATCCTAACTAGTTTAGAATCAACACCAAATATACATGAAGATAAGTATGTGGGTAGAAAATATAGAGAACTTATGATATATTAAAAAGCCTCCATTTTCTCTTGAAAAGTAAGACAAGATATAGCAGAATGATTGCCGACATAGAACATCCACATAACTAATCCTAACTAGTTTAGAATCTACACCAAGTATACATCAAGATAAGTATATGGGTAGAAAATATAGAGAACCTACAATAATATATTAGAAAGCCCCCATTTTTTTCTTGAATAGTAAGTCAAGACTCGAGATATAGCAGAATGACTGCTGAGTGCTGACATGGAACATTCATGTAACTAATCCTAACTAGTTTAGAATCCACACCAAGTCTATATTAAGATAGGTATATGGGTAGAAAATATAGAGAACCTATATTAAAAAAGCCCCCATTTTTTCTTGAAAAGTAAGTCAAGATATAGCAGAATGACTGCCGACTGCTGACATAGAACATCCATATAACTAATCCTAACTAGTTTAGAGTTTACACCAGATATACATCAATTTAAGTCGGTTGATACCTCTAGTTTCAAAAAGGACTCCTAATTCATATCAAAAACAAATTTACTATCCCAGCAAAGACCAAAAAAACACCAAGTGATTTCTTCTCATCTGTCCTAGCCTTGGTGGACATAGTTCCCTGGTAAGAGGTGACACGTATCACGTGTAGTTAAGTTGAAGTGAGCACAAGCTCGCCCGAACACCGTAGTTATTTAAAAAAGAAAATCTATTAACTATTGAAGTAAACTAGTCAAAATTGAGCAGAATAAGATCAAAATTTCATAAAACAAACCTCAAGTAGTTCAGAGTTGTAATAACTTTACTCCGACTACGATTAGTTCAAAATTTATAAAATTATAAAACGTAAAATAGTATTTTCCAAATCAAAACCGAAAAAACTGAATAATTAACCATTATAGCATACAATACTAAAATTCAAGCAAACAAACCCTAATGCGATAGAAAAAAGCGAAATAAGCCAAAAAAAATTATTTTTTCTTACCGATTAGCGACATTGAAACCGGAGAGATGATCGACGGCGGTTTTCGCATCATATATATCCTCATAAACGACGAAAGCAGTACCACGTGTATCCTTATTTGTACCAATACGAATCTGTCTAATAGCACCGTATTTGCCGAAGATATCGTACATCTCCTCGCTCGTGATGTTGAACGGAAGGTTCCGAACATATAATACCCTGTTTACCTCCGGCGGTAGCCGGGTATTGCCCTTTCGGAGACTCAACGCCGCCATAGTTTCGCCGGAAGAAGAGAGAAGATTTTTAGCCTTTTTAACTGTTAAAGAGTAGAGAAATTGAGTTAATTGTTGCTCAGTTTTAATTTATAGGGCAACTTTGAGAGGAGTTTTCTTTCTTTTTTTTCAAAAAAAAAAGTTAATGAATATCATAAAAATATTTTATTTCAAAATATTTTTATGTTCCACTTTTCGAAATCCAATTAGTTAAACTAAATGAATTTTGTTTAATATTTTAAAATGTGTTTTACTTCATTTATCATATTAATATAAAAAATGTAATTGTACTATTTTTGGTGTAATTTTTTAATATCTAAAGTTTGATTTAAAATATTGAATTAGTTTAATTTAATTTAATTTAACTCCGAAAACTAGTTAAATTAACTCTAGAAAAATGAAACTTGACAACAATTTTGGTACAAAAAGAGTATTAAACCTAAACCTTTTGAAATTTATGTTTTAATGTTTTTATTAAGTCAATTAAATTAACTTTCGGAAAGTAAATTTTGACAACTATTTTAGTACAAAGGGAATATCATGCCTAAACTTTTTTTTTTATTATAAGAAAAATCAAACAACAATTTCATTCTGCAACTCGATGGACATACATCTCTACAAGAAAAATTAATGGATATACTTGAGGATCACGTTCAAAATATCTCTTTTAAGTTTTTTTTTTTTTTTTTTTTTTAATTCCAGGATTATGACCCTGGAGGTATATATAAATCATGTAGAAGCCCAACAAAAAGGGACTTCGTCTCAACCCCAAATATACATCAGCAGTTGTCAAGCAATCCTTTAGGGAATGTTATTCCCGCATATCTAGAGACTATACAGATTAGCTTTAAAAAAACTAGCTTCGTCGTACCACTAGGCAATTGATCTAGCCTACGGTATAAAATAGGTCTTACTACTCATTGTAGATAACTTAGCAAGATGATCGGCCACTTTATTGACTTCTTTGTAGCAATGAGTGAAGCAAAAATCAGCATTCCCTACTAGATCAGCAGTCTCGTCCACGATTCAGGACAGACACCCTACCATATCGAGCTCAGTACAAATTCAAACATCGAACATGACCTCAACTCTTCTAGAGACGTGATGTGGCAAAAAAGAGTACTGATTCAACGAGACATGACTTGCCTGCATTAAGATTTAAAACTTGTCGTCTACCTTCAGGAAGAAAACCTGGAAGTGAGACTCTGAGACATGTCTGAAGCATCAAGCTTAACATTTTTCCTTCCTGCTATTAAATCCTTCTCGCGATCCCAAGGTTTCCATGGATGATTTCCTTTCCATTCTTCTTTCACTGATTCATGCTTCGATTTTTTCATTGACTTGCTACGAGCTGCAATCTCTTGATGCTTTTCTACCATAGATTTTGATCGTCTCGTTTTGTTACAATGTACCACCAGTTCAGCATCGACACTTGATCTACTCTTTTCTTGCCGTTCTTTATAAGTGTTGAAGCTTCCAAATGATCTTTCTGAGCTCAAACTGATGGGGTGTCTGTCCAGACACTAGTATCACCACGACCTTCTTTCGAGCTCTTGCTAAACCTCGTGTTGAGTGCATTCTCACAACACCAGATTTTCTTTCTGGAGGCAATGTAGTCATCCATTCATCACTTTTTAGTGCAACTTGCAAACGTCTCCATTGGAACGCTTGTAATTCTGCCTTCATTTCCTCTTGTTCTTCCTTACGCTTTATTTTCTCATCCAACACTCTCCGTTTATCTAAATCTTTAAAGGCGTTGTTCAGCTTGATGAACGCGTGGTGAGCTTCAGGATGAGCGCATGCACTATACGAGACAACTTCAAGTACTGTTTCTTTATGTTGTCATTCAATATATTTCTGTTCGCGCCCAAAACATCATATGAGTTATCTGCATCTGATGCTATGATTCTTGTAACCTCTTCAAAACACTCGATCTCGTTTGCTGATTCTACCTCAGTCACCAGAGCAGGCGGTGGAGGTGGAGGTCCTATAAACAAATCAGTATCTTCATTCAGCTCCGCTTGTGCTTCAGTTAACTTAGCTGCAGCAGCAAGTAGTTCCGCGGAAGGCATTGCAGGGCCAATCACCCTCCTTTTTGGGATAGTATCTTCTTCGACAGGCGGGCTTAAATCAGCAATCCAAACTCAAATTGGCATTACAATTGTCCTGTCCAACTCCTGAGTCTGATTCATTAGAATCCCAATACTTCCTCTTCCCCTCTCGTTTTCGATCTCCTACTACTACTGTTGCTGCATCTATGCTTCCGCTCTCTCTTTGTCCTCTCCTCCTCACGACGCCTTTTGGAGCTATCAATTTCGTAGTCAGATGCAGAAGATGACTCAGACAAGGAAGTGACTAATTCTTCTTGTTTTCTTTTCCTGCTCGAATTCTCTCCCATGGAGTTATTATTTGAATTCGTATAGCCTCGCTATATGAAATCGATTGCTAGTAAAAAGACAGAAACAGAGTTAAGAATTGAACAGAAACAGAGTTAGGAATTGCGTTTATATAGAGATTTATTTTTATTTTAACTTCCGAAACCAAGTTGGAATCTGAAAGGAAAAAAGTAAAAAGTTTCCAAAAATTGTAATCCCATTCCCATACGAATTTATAGTTACAAAAAATAATTTGATTTTATAAATTGTAATTTTGATATTTAAATTATTGTAATAGTTCAACGTGAACCAATATTATATTTAGTAATCTGATCAATCCTAATTCTCTGTTTTTATGGATGCTGAATAATTTTCGAGTCTTCTTCATTATCGATTGTTTAAACTCGAGGAGAGAAAGCTATAAACTTCTGAGATTATATATGGTGATCATCGAGTGTGAGCTCGTTGTTGGTAACATACTAGTAACTAGAATTCTCAATTAAATTTAATTGGGAGAGTACTAAACATGTTTGTGTCATTGTTCACCGTGCTCTCATGTTTGGGAGAAGGGGAAAATCTAGTTTGCAAGGTTGAAAACAGAGTTATCGAAGAAGGAGAAAATCTAGTTTGCAACGTGAAAGTAGATTTATCGTGCAAATACTCTCACATGCAAAGAAAAACTCTGTTAAAAAAATAGACAGATTTTTGGAATAGTATTATAAGTGTACCAATTTTTAAAACATGAAGGACTACTAGTTAATTCAGAGATAAAAGGACAATTTTGATCCTTTTTTCTCTGATATTTAACTAGACGCATTTAATATTCGATTGCTTGAATGTTCACTCTCGAATCATTTGCTCTTGCATATTCATAAATTTGTAGAATTATTAATTAAAATTAAACTTATATTGTCATTTTATATTTGAGGATAATATATATTTAAAATATAATTCAAATATAATATATACTTAAATAAGGGGAGCAAAAACAATATTAGGTCACATATCACATGGACCAAAATTAAAAAACCAAAAGTATCACTATTCCAATAAAATTTCAAGTTAAATTATTTTCAAATTTTAGAAGTTCATCATTTTTTGGTGCATACTCCTATCGTTCTTTTTGTGCAACGGATTAAAAACAAAATGTTGCCACATAAACTAAAACAGAAAGGGTACTATATCTATGGTCCCGTCCTTAGATGAACCCCACGCATAGCAAGAACTTAGTATACCAGACTGCCCTTTGAGAGAGGGAAGAGGACACATTGGTGCCTTGCCAACACCGAAGGGTAACTTAAACAAGGCAAAGCACCATCCATAAGCTCTGTTGAGTTTTAGGGCTTAAGAGCACGCCTCAACTGAGTTTTCGACCAACACTGGAAAAATCTCCTTTCTTTTTGTCCAAATTCAATAACAAAACTTACAAACCACAACTCACCAAACTATTCAACCAGAAAATAAAGAGAAATATGCTTTATTTGAATCTCTTCAGGTAAAGTCACAGAGACCACAAGTGCAGCTCAACAGAAATTGCTAAAACTTAGTAAAGATCGTATAGCTTTTCATTCAGTTCTGATGTAGTCAACAAAACATCTTTTTTTTAAACCACTCTCGGTTTTTGAGAGTCGTAGAATCTAACAAAAAGATATGCTAATTCTATGGCAAGATCTGCTTGCGACATAGTAAAAGTTACCTGCTCGAAGGAAAAGTATGTTGCTGATACATGTTGATCAATAGAGATAAGTAAAACCTGTGACCCAGAATTGGAACAATAAGATTCTTTTCTGCTGCAGTCTTTTACATTGGCGAAACAACTTTGAGATGATAGGCTCGACCCTGATAGATAAACAGCATTTTCTTAGGGTACCACATAAGAGTTTGACGGATCTCTTTAGGCAATAACATCGAACACTTATATTGTACCTTCCACATGAGCTAGCTTGTTAGTGTTTTTTCAGGGCATTCATTTTGTCCCTGAGATAGTATAGCTTGGCCCTCCTCACTCTTTTCTTGTCCAACACCTTTATCTCCTTTAGGTTGGGAGAGTACCTGCAAATAATCGAATCACTTAAACATTAGGAATCCATTTTTTGTGAAAGCTCTATAAGCAAATTGTGGAACACCCCTAAAATTATTAATTACAACTGCACTTGACACCCACAAATTTGCAGGAATCCGGTGTCAGTATGTGTGCATAACTAACGAGATTTTAGATGTAAATTGTGCAGGATAAACAATACTTTTCTCAATGAAAAACAAAATAAGAGATGCACTATTGAAGAGGGAGAGAAGGGGAGAATTCACTGTAGCATACAGAGAACTCAGTTCTTCTGCGGTGCAGCAAGCAGGATGGCCCTGGTGGATGATCTGGAGAACAGAAATTCCCTACAAGGTGAATTACTTCAAATGGCTTTTGGCAAAGGAAGCAGTCTTGACACATGAGAACTTGAACAAGAGGAAATCCAATCTATGTTCTAGATGCTATCTATGTAAAGAACATGTGGAGACAGTTAACCATCTCTTTTAACACAGAAAATGGACAGATCAATTGTGGCAAATGTTCATCCACAAGAGGAAGATCAAGTAGACAAAGCCTGGCAGAATTATAGAAGTCCTACACAGCTGGAACAGGGATGGAAATGCAGGAAAAAAGGAGAAGACACGGAGGATTGTCCCAGCTTGCATTTGGTGGACAATTTGGAAGGAAATGAATCAAAGATGTTTTGAAGGAAAACAGAACAACATTCAGATGATAAAGACAAACTGCCTAGGGCTTTACTTTTTTTGGTGTAAGCAAGTAGTGATAGGAGATACTGAAGATATGTTTAATGTTATTGATTGGCTGTAACTAGAAGATCTTAGGAATGATGTAAGTAAAACTATTAGGAGGGGGGAGTGTCACCACTCACCAGTACAAAATATTCTTATGAAGAAGAGTTAAGTTCACCCATGTGACGGACACAAATTAGATGAAAGAAGACAGTTGATGAGATATTGAGATATATCTACGGAGTCGTGTAAGAACAGTACTGTGGCACTCCTTGCATGCTAACCTTCTGGCAAAGACCATACTAGCTCTGATCACCCTTTTAGACTTATGCTACCCACATACTTTTTTTTTTTTGAGAATGAATACTACCCACATACTTTTAAGGTAGTTATGAACTTATGTATACAAAAAGCACCATCCCAGTTTTCCTAGAGAACGATTTTTAGGCACCTAAGTTAACCATTTTAAACACCCTACCTACAAACCTTCCTTCCTCTTGGATGTTATCCTATCATTACAAACCAAATAAAATCTGCAGATTCAACTATCTTTCCTGGCAAACTTGACCTGGTTTTAATACAGCAAAATAACAACCACATACCTAGTGAAATCCCAAAAGTGGGATCTGGGGAGGGTAGGGGTAGGACGTACACAGACTTTACCCCTACCTTTGTGAAGTAGAGAGGTAGTTCCTAGTCTCAAAAGGGAAGTATGTGGCACAAGATTGTAAGAAAAGAGACAGCAAAGTAGCAAGATACAAACAAATGCAGCAACAAAATAGTACTCCCCCCGTTCACTTTTACTTGTCCACTTTGGACTTTGCCACGTCCTTTCAAGAAACAATTGTTGATATGAGTATTTTACTATAATATTAATCAATGTTTAGTATTAGGTCTTGAAAAATGATTTGAAAATAAGTAATCAATGCAAAGGGTAAAACATGAAAAATATTGTCTTTTCTTGATATGTTAAATGTGACACGTAAAAGTGAGTTTATTTTTGAAATAGTGGACAAGTAAAAGTGAATAGAGGGAGTAATACACATCAAAGATTACGAAACTATGCGATAATTGAATAATATTACCAAGAAGACGAAGAAGAGGAAAAGGCTAGCCTACACCCACTCCCACACAGAAAATAACAACCCTCAGCTACCTACTAACCTTCTCTACCCTAATCCTCAACCTCCATATCATGTCCTCAAACAAATGAAACTGTATCATGTCATGTCTAATCACCTCTCCCCAGTTCTTCTTCGGTATACCTCTCATACCTTCTCTTCACATGCCTAAACCATCTCACCCTCGCTTTCCATCGCTCTCAACTTGCTCTGTATAACTTCATTCCTAATCATCTCTTTGAATATGCCCACACATCCATTTGAGTATCTCATCTCTGCTACCTTCATTTTTTGAACATTGCATTCTACACTGGCCAACACTCTCCCGCATATAGCAACATTGGTCTAACTAGCACTTTGTAAATTTTACATTTAAGCCTTGGTAACACAATCTTATTGCACAACACACTGGATGTGAACCTCCATTTTACCTACCCACTCTAATACGAAGTACAACATCATCTTCAATCTCCCCATCTCCTTGGGCTATGGGCTCAAGATACTTGAAACTTCCTCTCTTAGGTATGATTTGTTCCTCGATTTTCACTTCCCCCCTCTGCCTCATGCGTAAGGTCACCGAACTTGCACTCCATGTATTATGATTTTAGTCCTGCTTAACCTAAAACTTTTATAGTGTAGGGTCTCACACCACACTTCATCCTACCATTAACTCCTACATATCTCATTAGCCAATACTATGTCATTGTCATCAATGAATAACATAGACCACAATACCTCTCCTTCAATTTGTCATGTTAATTCGTTTATCACTAAGGCAAAGATGAATGGGCTAAGGGTTGATCTCTGGTGCAACCTTATCATGACCGAAAAGTGTTCTAAGTCACCTCCCACAATCTTAACTCGAGTCTTGGATTCATCGTACATGTCCTTAATAGCCCTAATGTAAGCCATTGTACATCTCTGAAGGACCTTCTTTTTCTAGGTCAACGAACATCATGCTAACCTTCTAGGTCAAAATCAACTTAAACTTATATTACCACCTGAGGATCATTCCTTAATGCCATGCCAATGCCAATCCTTATAAATAAAAAAACATCACTCTCTCTGACTTTCTACCACTACAACTCCTATAGTAATGGCTTCAATCAGGTTAAGCAAATAATCACTATCCAAAATTAGATTTGCTCAATAGTGCAATACGACAACAACAATGTCTCATTGTAATCCTACAAGTGGAGTTTGGGGAGGGTAGAGTATACACCAACCTAATCCCTACCTTGGAGGAAGAGAGGAATTTTTTTTAGATAGACTTTGGGCTCAAGAAAGAAAATGGCAACAAAAAAAATGGCCAAATATGATGGACAAATAAAATTTGGTAATAACTACAAAAAATAGAGCCAATCGAAGTACAAAAACAACAGATAGTAACATAAATCGAAGGACAAGAACTACAGGAGTATTACTACTACTGGAATGAAAGGAGAAGTTAGGCAACACACAACTACTGACTAATCCTCTATCCTAATCCGTGTCATTCATAATCTCCTATCTAAGTTAGTGGCGGAGAGAAAACGAGCAACACCTTGTATAGGTTGGGCGAAGCTTGAAGAAACAATCCCATATCAGAGAGCCATTGCGCGGTCGTGTCCTCAATGAATTGAAGTTGAATCATGTCTTGTCTAATCATCTCTCCCTAATACTTCTCTGGCCTACCTCTCCCTCTCCTACAACCCACCAAAGCTAACCTCTCACACTTTCCAATTATAAAAGGAAGTAGCAACATAACCTAAATCTAGCAAGTGCAAGCATTAACTGACAACCAAAAGAGCATTCAATTAAGAATCTAACAAACACATAAACCTGATGACTTACAGATGAAATAGGTTTTCAACCCCAACTCCAGCCACAAGTCTTCTTAATCTGAATGTAGTATTTAAACCCGCATTGCGCCTTGCTATCACTATGCCTTTGATAGTTGAAACACGTCTCTTGTTCTCTGGCACTTCCTGAAATATAACCATCATCATACCACCAATAAAAGCACAGTTTTCCTTTTGGTTTTTTCATAAGTCATATACTTCTCTTATAAAGATGGAGCTTGCATACATGAAAAATATATGCAGGAATTTCTTTCTATGAAATCAGTCCAACATGTCGGAGGATCATGTGTGCACAAAACACAGATTAAAAATACACCACCAAAACAACAGCATTTGTTCAATGCTGGCTGTTAAGTAGGAATTAAAAAATGAGACATGATCCTTTTGAGAGAAGCTTCTATACCAATTTGAGCTGGATAATATAACCAGGCTTTATATCAGGAATCTCACTCTGTGCCCTTACTTCTTCAACAGCTTCCTTATCAAGAATCTACATCAATAGGACTTCCCTTAGACATTGATGATATCATAATTTCTTAAATTGTAACAAAAGAAAAAGAAAAAAGGGCAACAAAATAAAACATCAAAGGGAGCAATATTTGGGGAAAAAAAATCACATCTTGTATACCTGCATTATATGTTTTGCTGTTTTATCAAGCCTCTTAAATTTGATACGTGGAGTTGCCAAAGCAGAAGCATCTTCAGAAACCATGTCAACTGAAGTAGCACCTGTTGTAATGAATCTTCTAGGGAAACTTGGGACCATGGCATTGTATTGCGATAAACATGATCTATAACCCTTGTAAGGCGATGTTAGTGAAGCATGTCTGTTATTCTCAGAGTGAACAGACACGTTCAATCTAGTTTCGAGTAAGTTCTGAAATAAGTTGCAGTTACAATATCAATCGTCAGAGCTTCAAAAGAAAACAATACTAATTTAATGTAATGCTAAAACACTATTGATCAACGTATTCCACAGGGAACCACCATAACAGCATAACATGTAACGTAGTTCTTCCATTCAAATTATTGGACACTGCAAAAGGCATGTTGATCCATATTCCATTAGCCACAGAATATTTGTACCACCATAACACAACACATATACAGCTTAAAATCACCCCACCAAGAACATACAGAGATTCAAACATGTGTGCATGTGGAGCTGAGAACCATTCTAATATTACTCATTTACAGCTTCCAACCAATCCATATTGTCAATAAATCCTATGTAATGAACAGACTCCAAAAGTTCCAACAAACATTTACTAGTCAATAATATCAAAAAGGAATTATCAAAATGATCTCTTTATTACAGAAATGACTATCAAAATACAACAACTACTATATGCCCAATGTAATAATCCCACAAGTGGGGTCTAGGGAGGATAGAGTGTACGCACACCTTACCCCTACCTCGTAGATATAGAGAGGTTGTTTCCGATAAACCCTCGGCTTAAAATGAGAAGACTATCAAAATGATAAAAAGAAACTCTGACACTGTAAACCAATCATTCAGAATTTTCTTCAACAACACACACCATAAGACCAACACATTGTTCAGTATAATCTACCAGTCAATATAGAAAAGTTGTTTTTTCTTATAACCGTGGAGCCCAGACCCGTCAATATAGATAAGATTTAAGGAGATAAGAGTGATGAGAACTTACTCCATGCTTGACTTCATTCTCCTTAGAAGCATTGCCTGATTTACAAAATTTAAACAAAATATTTTCAACTCATTACCATCAAATATACAATAAGGGGCCATTTGGTATTGTTTAGAGATGAGTTATGTAGGTAAAAATCTTGCATAAGTAATACCACTTTTGGTAGCTATCGTATCATTCAATGAGCATGTCGTATTTCATAAACATTGGGGCCAATATAATCCTTATATATGGCCCTCCTATTCAACTTTCAGGCATTAAGATACGTTTCAAGCGTGGATGATTATCATAAGAGATTCCCAACATATCATATGATTCTAGTTCTTATAAAATTAGTACTATGTTTGGTTTACAATTTAGAAACTTGCATAACTAATATGAGAAAATCTATACATTATTTTATGCAGGATAAAAGATGGAATAGTTAATACATGAATAACTAAAACCTACATTACTTACACCTATACAAAATAATACATAAATTCCCTCGTACTAATTTCTGCATTACTAATAGTTGCATCACTCTAACCGGCTACCAAACCACCTCTAAATACATACAACATCACAAAAGGAAAAATCACAATCCAGATCTTATGTCTCCACACGCACATACATATAATTGTTCAACTCTTATAGTTCAAGCCAATGGCAGTGAGGTAAATAGTAGAAAAAAGATGTAAAATAATAGTAGCGTACCAAATTCAGAGCTAAAATGTCGATTATACAGAGCCACGGATGGACGAAAAATCTCCGACGTCAGAGACGAAGATGAAACAGAACTTGTTACGAAAAGGTTGCATTTCGGAGGAGATAGGGATGGAGTTAGAGCTCGGAGCTGAGAAGAGAGTCTTCTCCACATTTTCTTCTAGAAGAATCTATCTACGATGTCAAGCTTCTAGGGTTTCGGAGGTCAAATACAGAATCGGCGGCGGCGGTGAGTGGCGGAGGATGGTGGCGCTTGCTGAAAGTGAAAAGCGTTTGTGTGTGGGTTCAGAAGCAGCAGCATTTGGGGTTTAACACAAATATTTTCTTAAATAATTTTCTAAAAAATAAAAAGTAAAAAAACATTTTTCTCTCAAATTAATTTATCCAAAGCAATGAAAAGTATAATAATAGAAATCTCGATATATAAAATATCTCGCATTACCTAATGTAAATATTCATGATTATTTTTACGACTTGAATCCTAAAGTTTTCATGATTTGAACTCGTGATAATTATACAAAAACAATTTTATAATTACTTCGAGAAAAACTATAACAATTATTGAATTTAATTATATATATTTAAAATATAAAAAAAATTACTTACCCAATAAATCACTTATATGAGATACTAATCCGATAATTATTTTTATAAATATTTTATTAATCTAGTTAAAAATAAATTTAGAAAACTTGTTATCACAAATTCAAATATTCTAATGTGGTGGTAACAATTTGTTTGTATTAGAAACTAGTTTCTAGGCATGTGTGTTGCACGTGTATCCCATATGAAAATCAATTAAAAAAAATTAAAAGCATATAATAAATTATTGGGAGGACATACGTGTTTGTTACAAGTGTTTCTTGATATTTTCGATCTATCGCTCAGTAGATAAGTCTCGAAATAGGCATGGTGAAATTAAGCTTAGCCGTTCATAAGCAATTTAGTGTACATATTGTCATAGCAATTAACCATTATGTTTAGTTTTTGGAACACTTCTAATGTATGATTATAAAATAGTTTCAGCTGCAATACTTAGAGAGTTAGGTTCAAACACATAATAATTGAGGACTGCTGATTTTTTCATTTTACTCCCCTATTATGTAATTTAAATATTACTATTTAATTAGATATTTAATTTATGTTTAGAATAATTATTTTATTGCATTTTAATTTTGTGTAGGGATAAAATTGTAATTCATCTTTGCACTTTGGAGCTTCGCCCACTTTTAATAATATATATCTATACGTATGATATATGATATGATTGTACTATTTGATTTATGATTTAGTTTGGCTCGATGAAGAAGGCTATATAGGAGAACGAGTCGACAAGAACTTGAAAAATTCAGTACTGATTCTATATTTCTTTTTTATCAATATTTTCATGATTATAGTTCTAAGAAGAATGTGTACGTTGTATTTTTTTTCCTATCTAATTTTTTTTGTTGGTATTTTCTCCTAATAGACTTCATTAATCTATATTTTTATTTGGGCTCAAATTAGTATTTTATTATTCATTACATGTATGTTTTCATAGAATTTTTATGTTCTAATAAATTTATAAAAATTCACATGGAATACACGTATCCAAAAATTAATAACTTATATAGAAATGAATACATGAACAATTTGTTTACTTTACTATCTATCAAACGAGCCCTAAAACCAGGACAAAGTAGACTTTGAGTCTTTGTCCTTTTTAGGGAACCTTAGTTTCCAGCTTTGGGACCAACTTTTTATTTGGTTTAGACATATTCCAGTCAAGTCAACCCTTTAGAAATTAAAGTAAGCATACATAACGACTATGGAGACATTATATTGATTGAATCTTTTTGTTGATTTTTCTAAGTAGCTGTACAGGGGCGAATTTACGTACGAAAGTGGGAGTGATATGACATTTATACACTAGGCTTATTTATCTACATATATTAGATTTTTCCTCTTTTTTTATTCCTTCGGAAAAGCTAGCTAAAAATTTAATTCTATGTGAATTTAATTTTTTTTTAAATTCTTTCTATCCCTCTAGTCTTTACTTGTTTGTTGATATTAATTAAGTGCTTTTGGCTCTTATTTTTTCTTATAGAAATATGAATTAGTGGAAATTAAGTACAATGTGTTTAAATTCAAAAGGGGTAATTGCTTATTAAAAAAAATATTTTTCTCATTTATTCAAGATAAAATTGGGTTAAGAGAATTGCAAAGAATCATGCCAAATTTATTTTGGTCCATTGACGTGTATTTATTTACTAGTTTCTAGATACGTGTGTTGCACGTGTGTCCCATGTTATTTTTTTTTATAGATCCGTTAAAACTATTAGAATTCTATGAAAACATGCATGTAATGAGTAATAAAATATAGCAATTACAAATTAATCTTTAAAAAATATGACAAGAAATAACAAATGAGGGGCATATTTTAATGTTCAATATTAACTATTTTGAAGTAACCAACTACAAATTTTGAACTTTGTGTAGTAGTTAACAAACTTCTATAAAGTCATGAATGTCTAATTTGAGCTCAATAAAAAAAAGAACTCACGACAATAAGAAATTAATAAAAAATATTAAACAAAAAAAGTCTAATAGAGGGAGAACACAAAAAAAAATACAATAAAAAGGAAAAATACATAAGACTTTAATCAAAATAATATAGTCAAAAAATAATATACAAATCAATACATAATTTTTCTTGTTCTTGTCGACACCTTCTTCCATCACCAATATAAATTCAACAGTCGTCTTCATCGAGTCAAACTAAAGTATGACTTAAATTAAATAATACAATAATTCACTATTTTAACTATAGAATAAAAACAATAATCTTAGGTAGCGTTTGAAACAAAAAAGATGAATTTATATATATAAAAATTAAGGAATATCAAAAGATATAGGTTATGAATATAAAATATATGAGCATTATGAATATTAAATATATCAATTGAATGAGTAATTGCATATGAGATATGGAAATTAATATTTAAAGCAAATAAAAGAGAAAAATATTACACTTAAATACTAAATGAATTGACCAGATTTAATTGTTACAGATTGGTTCGTGTGTTCAAGTGTCAGAGAAGAGATTGTAGACTCAATGAAATAATAAAGTGTAAATGGATTGCTATGATTATTTGTATGCTCATATTTCATCAGTCAAATTATTCAATAAAGGAGTAGAAAAGGCTAAAAGTCACCAAAGTGATAGTTAGTGTTTCTTATGCGTTGATTATAATTTCCATTAAATGGCTGAATGATTGAATTTTTTTCTTATCCCAAGCATAATACAATTTTTGTATTGCAAATGATAAATTTTAAATGGTATATATATATACTTGGACTTTCTCTGTGGTATAAAATTTCCCATTCCTTATTTCATAGGAAATTAGAAATTTGTAACTTTAAAAGTGCATCCTTTTTTCTCTAAATATATCAAATTTCAAGTTTAATCAAGTTTATTATTAATACTTAAGTTTCATATCTTTTGTAATTTTAAATCATTTAAGAGTTTTCTATCTTTTGAAAAAAAATTGACATCGCTGAAATTATTCTCCTTATTTTGTAAAGAAAAGAAAGTTTGATTTTTAATAAGTTGAGCTTTTTATGTACATGTGTATCTCTATATAATCCTTTCATATATTCTCAAATATATAAGCTTATATGCTCAAAAAATATAAGTGTATTTATATATAAGTTTTTATGAAAATATAATTTATGGTTTCATCCTATAAAGGTTAAATTACACATAAAATTAATTAATGCTAAAACATGTTAAAACTATGAAAATTATATATTCAATAAATATGGAAATATGAATGATAAATAAACCAATAAAAAGCATTGTCTTATCATTTTTCTGATATACCAGTTTGTTTCATTTGCATTATTATTGAGTTCCCTTTAAATTTTGACGTAAGTTCAAGTGGAGTATTCCTAAATATTTGAATCTATATTTTCGACAGTATACAAGGAGTAAAAGAAAAATAATGAAAAAGGGAACATAGAAATAATAAAAGTACCTATGATTTATTTATTTATTGGTGTTGTACTTTCTGAAACAGTCTCTGCAATACAATTCTCAGATTAGACATACTTCATAATTCTTTTCATTTTTCATAATTATATAGCCAAATAAAGATACCTGCCATTCAAGGTATCATCTCTTCAGTTGTCCGCAAATTTCACTTAGACACCTCATCTTAGACTTGTTCCAATTGAACACCTCGACTAATCAAAAAATTTACCCATCGAACACTTTATAGACGATCAGCTGAAATAAGAGAGTGTGTGTTAAATCCATGTCAGCAAAAAGGATTTAATAGGTACAAATTTCTTGCTGTCTAGGTGTTCAATAGGTACAAGTCTTAGTTGAGGTGTTCAACTAAAAGATGCGGACAACTTTAAGTGGCTATCGATGACTTAAGACAAAATAAAAAGCTAGAAGCTTTATAGTCATTGGAATTGATTGTATCATGTCATGCTATGACTCTTCACTATCTCATTTACTGCAATTCTTAATTTCCTTTCTAATTCTTCGCTGTACCTAATTGGTTGTTGCTATTCATTTTTGCTGTTAGAGGAATCGTTAAATTTTATTGTAATCCCATGTATATATTAATTTTTTAACCAAAAAATGAACCTGAAAAATTCAAAAAAATAATAATATGATAAATGCAATTTAGATTGTTATTGCTACCTTTATATTGTATACACACGGTATGTGTTAAGTAAATTGAAAGAGAGAAATGAAATAAATACAAAAGAAAAGGAAAAGATTTTAAAATATAATTAAATTTAGTTTTTAAAAGGATAAAAATATCTAATTTAGACTTTCTATTGATATTTTCATTTTTCAACTTTTGACTTAACAATTTCCACTTTTAGTATATAATATAATATAATTAGTATTTAATGTTTAATATTTAATTAATTTATTTTTTAAAATAATATTTTGATTTAGTATAAGGGTAAAATGGTAATCCAACTTTGCACTTTGGATCTTCCCACTTATAATAATAAAATAATAATAATAATAATAATAATATATATATATATATATATATATATATATGATTGAAAACAGTAGAAATTGCCTATAATGATGAGTTTAAATTAAAGATAGGCAATGAATCTATACTTGTTACCAACACAATACAAGATTGATAAGATCTCTTAATATATGTTATTTGCTAACCATGTTATACTAATTAAAGAAACCGACAAGAATAATTAACCAAAAGCTTGAATTATGGAGTAATACTATAAAAAATAATCTGTTGTGCACCGTTCGAACTTAGATGAATAATTTTGTTCTTC